TTTTTAGCAAAAAAATAATTTTTTGCGGAAAAATCTACTTTAACTTTAAAGTAAAGTTAAAGTGCCACCCCTATATGAGATCGAACAGTCCCACAGCGTTCGATATATCCCCTCAGGAAATTTTTTTGTCGCTACCATTCATATATATATTTGTTTTTTTAGCTGAAAGTGATGGTCTTGAATATTGTTCATATGCTTTTATTGTTGATAATTCAGATGATAAAATCTTTCGTTGTTTAAATCCAGAATTCTGTGAAAGAAACTTGCAGATAAATGAGACAAACTTGTATTTCTAGTTTACATCTAACAAGAGATTATATACGTACTAATTAATTCTTGATTTAAGAATTATGTCTGTTATTTTATTTTAATTCGAAAGATTTACGAAAACTAAATTTAGTTCGTAGAGTACAATTGTAGTGATTTTTTTTTGTGTTGTTGGTCTTCAATAAATTTAAATCCAGTTATTATCAATATGCTTGTCAAAACGAGCGTTGAACCAAATAATGATAAAAGATTTGATTTTACTGATGAAAAAATATTTTGTAATAGAATAGAGACTAAAATACTACTAGATTGAAGTATTGTGAATATCGCTGGATGTTCACATTTAATTCCTTTCTGTACTAACACAAATCCAGGTATTTGTAATAAACAAATTGATGAAGCAACTAAATATCTCCAATTGAAAAAGTCATTTTTAAATGATTGCATTGTATCAATAAAAAAATTATATTTATAAAAGACATTGGTAATTAACATCCATAATGTTACAAATGAATATAGAAACATTATTAAACTTTGTTTTGTTTTATATTTCTCTAGTAAATATTTGTTTGATATTATCATTATTGAAAATACTATTGCAGAATACAATGCAAAACAGACACCTATTATACGTTGATAATAATCATTTGATATATTATTTTCATTTATATTTGATATTTTATTAAATAAAAAACTTGGTTGAGCAACAAATATTACACCAATAGTTGTTAATAAAATCGATATTATCATTGATATAGATGGTTTTTCATGATAAAGAATTGAAGTTATAATTGCTGTCCAAATAATTTGTGTAAAACGTATTGTTGTTAAGTCTGGCAATGTTAAATAACGAAAAGCAAGAAAAAAAATAAAACCACCAGTTGCAGAGAAAAAAACATTGATGAATAAAAAAAATATTTCTTGTTTACTTGCTTGTTTATATAATGAATAATGTTTTATAAATTTCATATAAATAAACAATATGATGCTATGCACTAGACAATACGCAATTGATGCATCAAGTACATCTACGTTTAATTCTTTTGCTATGAATGTTGAAGTTACAAAAATAAATGTTGATAGTAATATATAAAATATTCCTAAGAAACGTTTCCATTTTGTTGGAGATAATTGAACAGGTTTATCATCATTTACTGCAGTTGTTGTTTCTGTTAATAAACTAAGAGATTGTTGTTTATTATGATCATCTTTGACTTCAATTTCAAATTGATTTTCAATCGTTGAGCTAAAAGTAATATTTGTAAAGTTGTGTGGTATTATTTGCGGTCATGCTCTGTCATCGATTTTAATGAAACTTAATCTAGTCATAAATTAATACTGAATGTAATGATAAGTACTAGAAAATCTATATGGTTTTTTTTTCTGCATGAAATCAACTTGTATGCCTTTGTCTTTTTTTATGTTTTGTTAATATATTTTTACAGCTACAGTTATATTATTATGTATTTTTAAAGCAAATTTTATACGAAAAATATCTAGGATTTTATGATTCTTTCGTTGTCGAAAGTAAAAATCATATATGCATTTCCGTGTATGGATCATTCTCTGGATTATATGAACATAAGACAGTTTTATTACCTTTCTTTATCCATTGATGATATTGGAATGACAAAACATTAAGAAAAAAAAAACGTAATGATTGTTTCACCTATTTTTAAGGTCGAATGAGTCTCATGAGCTGTCACATGATTACGGTTGTTTTTTTCTTTTTTCCTCCTAATGCATAAAAATGAGACATATTCAGTGTCACGTTGTCGATTTATTCATTCTTATTATCTCAAATTATTCCTTTTTATTAATGAATATTCATGTAACTCTATGAATGAAACAAAATCATGTAGAAAAATAATTGATACAATTATATTTTCACAGTTGAAACATTTTTCTCATTCGTTAAGAAACTAATAATATCCTCTAATCAAAATAAACAGAATATATGTTTGCCTTGCATTTATACTTTATAGAAGAGAAATTAATATTCATTATATGAACGATACTTAGAAAGAAAACCATGTTTCATTTATTTTGAATAAGTAGCGATAGTCAAATAAATTATAATATATTTATTCTTTTCTAAGAATATATAAAATTAAACATTAAAAAGTATTTTTCATTGATAATGTCATATATTTGTGCATACTATTAGTTGTTTTTTAGAAACGAATTAGAAATAAATAAACAACAACGACATTGAACCACAATAAATAAAGATAATAAAGTTCAATGAAAAGCACAGAACAGAATTATAAGCAAATCATAGATTTGAATTTTTTTTTTTTTCTTTAATTTATAATCTTAAGTATTTAATTTAAAACCAAGTAATAATTTGAATATTTGATAAATGATTTCTATCAAAAGTATTCGATATCCAGATCTCATAGATGAACTACAGAAGTAGAATTTCTGAAAAATTGATAAATACTAGTTTTCATGTCTTAATAGAATTTCTATGAATCCTTTTAATAATACTATTTTACGGAAAACAAATTGATGAGGTGTCACATTTTCTATGAGTTTCTCTTAAAAATTTACATGCAGCATATAAGCCAAAGGAAAAACATGATACTTCATTTTTCACGTACTTTAATGTATTCTAAAGTACCTTAAGATACGTTTATATAATTCAAGATAATTTAATTCACATATCTTTACTTCTGCTTCTTTTTAAAATTAAACCTTCTACTTATATTGAAATTAAACTAATCCAATAGAAACTATATAATCAGCAAACATAATATATAGTGTACTATTCAAGCTTCTCATGGAGCCCTACAACAATAGGAAAATCTTGCGTGGTAGTTTGCAACATTGTATTTCCTATTATTAATAATCATTGATCGAAATAATAATCTTTATACAACAGCTAAGCATTTCTAGTAGAACAAAATTAGGGCTTGACAGTTATCTTTACAACAATAGTTACCAAGTAACAGGTAATTCAAAACTTAATTACCGCGATTTCTGGATAAGGATAGGAGATTTTGGGGAAGTAATGGTTTTCTATAAAGTTTGATCACAGGTAATCAAGATCAAGAAGGGTGTGGGTGTGGGTATCGGTGTGAGTATTATTGTCATCTACACCCACACCCTATCGCATCCATGTTGAAGTATATAATCTCAATAAATAAACCGTGTACAGGATTTGAAATAGCTAATTTTGCTCAGTTCTGATACTCTATCTTTTAGTTCATCACATAAAAAGAATTCTAATTTGTAAAAATATAATCCTAATCGGCATTTATGGGTCAGTTGACCACTAAGTTTTAGATAGTACGTAGGTAGTGCAAAAAAAAATCGAACTCGATTTGCTTTACTATGGAACGCACAAATGAACTGAAAATTAAGCTCGACGGTTTTTAGATGATGAGTTTTTGAATGCACATAAGATATTAAAACTCAAAATTTTGATCAGTGCCTCAGTTTCATGTTTTTCTCATGAATTCTCACTTAAAGACCTATTAGAGTATCATATAATCCTCGACTCTGATTTCCTTTGGTCACACTTTATGAAAAATCATTATTTTCCCGAGATACCTCTCGCTTATCAAGATCATGGGATAATGAATTTTGACAAACCGATTACAGATTTGCATTCATTGATTCGACTTACCTTTGATCAAACTTTATAGAAAACCATTACTTTCTTGAAATACCCTCTCTTATCCAGAAACTACGATAACGAATTATGAGAAACTGATTGCAGATTCGGATTCCTTGGCCCTGATTATCTTTGGTCAAACTTTATAAAAAAAACTCACTATTTCCTCGAAATACCCCTTCCTTATCGAAAAAGTGGGACAACCAATTCTCAGGCACCTGTTCCGTGGTAAGAAATCGGTAACTTTTCTTCCCTAGATTAAAGTAAAAGGGTACAAAATGGATTCAACATTTCAAGCCAATCAAAATGCAACGAGTTATTTACTGTATGAATGTTCAGTCGTTGAGCCTCTATCGAAGAAAGTATGACACTATATCAAGCAGTTCCATACTTTTAGTATTTGATAAATACTTTCACAGACTTTATAGTACTTTCATGTACTTTAAAGTACAAAAGTATCATGTTTCCCTCATGATATAAGCACAACAAACGTTAGTATTCGATCTATTTTCAGAAGTTTTGGTGAGTTTTGCTATTGTTCGTTTTCTGTATTACGGGTAATATACTAAGAAAAAATCGTAGGGAATGCAATGAACCTCATCTTATTTAGAAGTTAATGGCATTGGTAAAATGTCAGTGATGTTCCTGCGAGATTAAAGAATGAAACACGATGTAGATGCTATTTTTAATCACAAAGAGATTTTTTTATTTCATGTATCTGTGCACACATTTATACATTCTTGTTTTACTTTATCCTTCAAGAATACATCAAGGAAGTAGATAATACATTGTGGTTGTAAATGAAGAGAAAATTCTAACACATACACTCGTTTTTTATCTACCTGACGAGGGAACATATCCAACGGTCAGATTTCATCCGATTACATTTTGTAACTTATACGAGTACATCTTGAGATGAAGCTTAAAAGGATTCGAGCTCATGATCAATTAATGAATAGTTAAGACCGTTTTAATGTTTTTTGTTTTGATGGGATCAAAACATTATTGAAAAACTCAAATTACACAGTTCTGACCTGAAACTTTGTCTATAGATAGATTTAATAGTCATTAAAAATCATTGCCGAAGTTTCAACTAAAGTAAATATCCAATAGAGTGCAGAGTAATTGAATCTACTTAGATATAGAATATTTCGAAAAAGACATCGTTTCTCTCGTTGAAAGTTTCAGTAGTATCAAATGACTTGTTAATCTGCATATAGACTCAATTTCAAGTGAACATGCTTTACTTTGCGTTTATCGAAAATGTTTCGCTTTCAGTAAAAAATTTCAATCAAGCATCTAAAACCCGTCCTTAGTAGGATATTGAGTTCGAATCTTTTCGAGCTTTTCTTAGTCTCACTAAAACTTACTCATCGGTCCCAATCAGGACAGAATATGATGTGCTCCACTATATTTTAAATAACTTTGATAGAAACATCATAGACACATACGGTTTTCATCATTCAAGAGAAGACGTGTAATCATTGAAGTGTATCGAAGTTTGATTGGTTAACAAATGACCAATTCGGTCAGTTCTTGATGGAGGCTTTCGAGATCGATACTCTGAAACTATTTTTCTTCCAATTCAGGCTATCAATAGGGCTAATCAATAGAAAAAATGCTATTTTTTTCGACTTACACAAAGTCAACATACCTAACTAGTTGTATTTGAGAGTTATCAGGCTTTTCGTGAACTCTCCGATGTCAGCCAATAGAGATGTGATCACTCAGAATAGTAGCCAGACAGAGGTATAGCTCATCGTACCGAGCCGAATTACATAGAAATTGTTTACGGAATTTTAGGAATATTCAGAATGACAAAGATTATTTTGCATATAAAAACAAACATCACTAGTCAACTTAGTGTATAATGAATCTGTCCTATTTGGCTGCTTTTCTAGGTCACCGCAGGTTGATTGGCTGAAATTGGAGGCCTCAGGAATATGTGATCACTTTCGAACGAAAAGATTGAAATAGCAGAATTTTTAATATCGATTTGTCCTATTACAAGTCTAAATCGAAAGAAAAATAGCATAAGATGATCATTTTCGAAAACTTTCATCAAGAATCCATCTGATTGATCAATTGCTGACCAATCAAGTATCGATATACTTCAATAGACTCAGACAGTCTTTCTAATAACAAGTGTACAGACATCTGCAACTGTGAAAGTATACGCTCCTGTATACTTGGTTTTAACAGCATAATGTATAATGTACACTTTGCAGAAGAAATTTCAAAACTAATGTTACTCCAAAAATTATGTTTAAACAATGTATAGATATAGTGATCTATTTAGATTTGTTATATCATTTGTTGAATGCCATAATTTGTTTAGTGATTTTGCTTACTATTGTCCTGTTCAGATTTATATCAGTTCCTTCCCAGTACTTATGTAATGGCTACAGTATACAGCTGAAAACGATAATGGATTCAATTTAATTTTGTGTGAATCAAGCTGATATACATGATGATGAAGGTAAAAATGATAATTTTAATTCATTTTGTGATTATTTTGAATTTTGAAAAAAATAGTAAATCGTAGCTTCTCATGTTCACATGATATAATAATGCTATACTTTTGTGTAGTCAATTGTCCTAAATGAATCGAATACGAACTGCTTCTTCCCTTATTCTCTATTTGTTTATTTATTATTAATGTATCTTTTGCGCAGTAAATAAGATATGAATATTTTTTAATTTTTGAACATTACATGAAACTAGGACGTCGTACACTGGTAGATTTTATTTTCGATTTCAATTAGAAAAACTGATCTTAGGTCTTCTCTTTCTTGAGTAGTGAAAATCACAAGTCTCTATGATGTTCCTATAAAAGCTTTTCAAAAAGCAGTGCAGCACGCCATATTTTGACATAAGTAGTAGCATATGAGATTAGGGGTGGCACTTTAGCTTTAACCTTTAAAAGTTAAAGTGGTTAAAGTTAAAGTAAAACACTTTAACTTTAAAGTTAAAGTTAAAGTAGCATATTTCAACTTTAAACTGTAAAGTTAAAGTTAAAGCAAGTTTACTTTAATGTTTAGCTTTAAAAAATTTAAAGTTAAAGTAGATTTTTTCGCAATAAATATTTTTTCGTAAAAAAAAAAACTATTTTCTTGTTAAAAAATTATTTTTTCATAAAAAAATTATTTTTTCATAAAAAAATTATTTTTTCGTAAAAATATTGTTTTTTTGTAAAAAAACTCATTTTATTTTATAAAAAAATTTGCTTCTACTAAAAAATAATTTTTTTATGAAAAAATAACTTTTTTATGAAAAAATAACTTTTTTATGAAAAAACAACTTTTTTAGGAAAAGAAAATTTTTTAGCAAAAAAATAATTTTTTGCGGAAAAATCTACTTTAACTTTAAAGTAAAGTTAAAGTGCCACCCCTATATGAGATCGAACAGTCCCACAGCGTTCGATATATCCCCTCAGGAAATTTTTTTGTCGCTACCATTCATATATATATTTGTTTTTTTAGCTGAAAGTGATGGTCTTGAATATTGTTCATATGCTTTTATTGTTGATAATTCAGATGATAAAATCTTTCGTTGTTTAAATCCAGAATTCTGTGAAAGAAACTTGCAGATAAATGAGACAAACTTGTATTTCTAGTTTACATCTAACAAGAGATTATATACGTACTAATTAATTCTTGATTTAAGAATTATGTCTGTTATTTTATTTTAATTCGAAAGATTTACGAAAACTAAATTTAGTTCGTAGAGTACAATTGTAGTGATTTTTTTTTGTGTTGTTGGTCTTCAATAAATTTAAATCCAGTTATTATCAATATGCTTGTCAAAACGAGCGTTGAACCAAATAATGATAAAAGATTTGATTTTACTGATGAAAAAATATTTTGTAATAGAATAGAGACTAAAATACTACTAGATTGAAGTATTGTGAATATCGCTGGATGTTCACATTTAATTCCTTTCTGTACTAACACAAATCCAGGTATTTGTAATAAACAAATTGATGAAGCAACTAAATATCTCCAATTGAAAAAGTCATTTTTAAATGATTGCATTGTATCAATAAAAAAATTATATTTATAAAAGACATTGGTAATTAACATCCATAATGTTACAAATGAATATAGAAACATTATTAAACTTTGTTTTGTTTTATATTTCTCTAGTAAATATTTGTTTGATATTATCATTATTGAAAATACTATTGCAGAATACAATGCAAAACAGACACCTATTATACGTTGATAATAATCATTTGATATATTATTTTCATTTATATTTGATATTTTATTAAATAAAAAACTTGGTTGAGCAACAAATATTACACCAATAGTTGTTAATAAAATCGATATTATCATTGATATAGATGGTTTTTCATGATAAAGAATTGAAGTTATAATTGCTGTCCAAATAATTTGTGTAAAACGTATTGTTGTTAAGTCTGGCAATGTTAAATAACGAAAAGCAAGAAAAAAAATAAAACCACCAGTTGCAGAGAAAAAAACATTGATGAATAAAAAAAATATTTCTTGTTTACTTGCTTGTTTATATAATGAATAATGTTTTATAAATTTCATATAAATAAACAATATGATGCTATGCACTAGACAATACGCAATTGATGCATCAAGTACATCTACGTTTAATTCTTTTGCTATGAATGTTGAAGTTACAAAAATAAATGTTGATAGTAATATATAAAATATTCCTAAGAAACGTTTCCATTTTGTTGGAGATAATTGAACAGGTTTATCATCATTTACTGCAGTTGTTGTTTCTGTTAATAAACTAAGAGATTGTTGTTTATTATGATCATCTTTGACTTCAATTTCAAATTGATTTTCAATCGTTGA